GACAAGGGATGATTACAAATCGGACATACACTTCTCAGCTGCCACGTGAAGAGAAGCCCAGAAAGTTTTATTTATTTATTTATTTATTTTATATCTTTGCAAACAGTACATTGAGATTTTGTATTTACAATAGTGGGTTGCAATGCAAAGAGAGCCTCTATTATGCCTAGGCATTATGGGCCAACTTAACATTAATGGCTTACAGTCTACTTAACACTGAGGAGTATATCATAGTTGTACAGTAGGATAGTAATTATTTCATAGTTGTACAGTAGGATAGTAAATATTTCATAGTTGTACAGTAGAATATTAATTATAAATGAATCAAAATTTGCATAATACAAAGATATATTTATATTCGAAAATGCTTTTTGTGAAAAACAATGTTTCAATTATATTCCTGTCAACAATGGATAAAAGGTTCAAGGTAATTGTTTCAGTTATGATGTGGGAGTACATAGGTGAGTAAGTGTGTACTGAGTATTTAGCATTTAGTCTAGGGTGATTAAGTGGCTTTTGAGAAGAGTCTTAAATTGATTTTCAGACTGGATTACTTTAATATCTTCTGGTAATGAATTCCATATTTTGGGGCCCTTCATGTGCATAGAGTTTTTACACAGTGTGATATGGACACGAGGTATATCAAAAAGAGATCTGTGTCTTGTGTTGTGGTCATGTGTCCTGTTTAGGTTGGTGAGGAGAATTTGAGTGGAGGGTTTATATTTGCGTGTATTGTTCTGTGTATGTAGTAGGCACATGAATAAGTATGGATGTTCTTAATGGTGAGCAGATTCAGACTTGAAAATTGGTGGAGTATGCTAGTGGGAATTTGTTATCATTCTTACTGCTGCCTTTTGCTAGGTTATTAGGGGATTTAGGTGATTGGATGTTGTTGATCCCCATGCACAAATTCCATATGTAAGATAAGGGTATATGAGTGAATGGTACAGTGCCAGGAGAGCTGATTGTGGAACGTAGTACCTTATCTTTGATAGTATGCCTACAGTCTTGGAGATTTTCTTGGTGATTTGTTGTATGTGTGTCCGGAACTTAATGCTACTGTCAAGGTGGATACCTAGGAATTTTCCCTCTGTGAGTCTTGTGACTGATGATCCATTTAGTGTTATGTTAATTGGATCATTTGCAGCTTTGTTTCCAAACTGAATGAAATAGGCTTTATCAGTGTTCAGGGTAAGTTTGTTAGTCATCATCCAGGCAGATATTTTCTGTAATTCAGCATTGACTGTGTTTGCTAGTATGACTGTGTTTGGGTGGGAAAAGACATATGTAGGGTCATTTGAAAATAATATGGGTTTGAGTAGCTGTGATGCATTCGGTAGATCATTGATGTAGATGAGAAAGAGGAGTGGTCCAAGGACGCTTCCTTGTGGGACTCCTACTGTGATTGGTTGGGTGGAAGGGTTTGCATCATTTGCATACACATATTGAGTTCTGTTACTAAGGTATGATTTTAGGTAGTTGAGGGAGTGGCCTCTGACACCATAGTGCATTAATTTGGAGTACAGCAGTTCATGGTCAACTGTATCGAAAGCTTTACGTAAATCAGTGAAAATGCCCAGTGGGACTTCTTTCTTTTCAAGTGTGGTATATATTAGTTCTAGCATGTGTATGATAGCATCATTTGTACTTTTATTATTACTGAATCCAAACTGACAAGGGTATAATATGTTGTGTGAAACGAGGTAGGAATAGATCCGTCTATGAATTAATTTTTCGAAGATTTTAGAGAGCAGTGGTAAGTTAGATATTGGTCTATAGTTATTCAAGTCAGCTTGGTCACCTCCTTTATGGATCGGAGTGACCCTCGCTATTTTGAGGATTGTTGGGAAGGTAGATGATTCAATGGATTTGTTAAAGAGCATTGCAACAATTGGTGACAATACTTGAGAAGCTTTTTTGTACATAAAAGCAGGCAAGTTTTTTATGTCTCCTGCCTTGTTTTTAAAGGTGTTTATGTTGAGCGTAACTTCAATGGGGTTGGTTGGAGCTAAGAATAGCGTATTTGGGTAGGTACCTATGAGGTAGTCTGATGGATGGGTGTTTGTGCTTGGTATTTTGTTTGCTCAATTTTTTCCTATGGTGGAGAAGAAAACATTAAGTTCTGTTTGCTGTTTGGGTTGGAGTGGGGGTTTTCATTCTGATTTTGTTTAGTTTGATTGTTTTTTTTTTTGGATAACTTTTTAGTTCCAAAAATTCAGATAGAGTTTTCCGGGTTTTTTTTCATATCCCCTTTGATGTTATGAAATTTTCTATTTCATAATACAACTTTTTTTGACCTTCTTATCAGGCTGGTAAGTGCTGACGAGTAAATTTTCGACTGTTCTCTAGTTATTTGACCCATTCTATACTGTTTTTCGTATTTGTGCTTTGTGTTAATGGATTTGAGGATGCTTGGTGTTAGCCAGGGATTATTCAGTCTCTTTGCTGTGATTTGTTTAGTTTTTCTGGGGCAATGTCTGTTATAGAGGCATTGGGCTTTTTTTAGAAAATTATTTATACATTCATTCATATCTGTATATGTTTTGAGCTCATTTTGCCAATCGATGTTATTCATAGCTGCTATAAAGTTGTTAACTGGTGTCTTGTTATGTAGTCTGAAGGTTACTTCAGCAATGTCTTGTGGCAGTTTTCCCAGATTAGTTATGATAAAGGTTGGGTAGTGGTCTGTAGTGTTGTCTGTGATTATGATTGATTTTATTTAAAGGTGCACATGAGTACAATTATCCCCACAAGGTGAGGGGCTCTTGATCTAGGGAACTGGATCTGTGCTCCAGTTCCCTGAATTGAGCCTGAATGCCTTCCATCTCCCCCCCCCCCCCACATTTGCTGCATAATCCTATGGGTTTAGTGTTCCCCCATGATTATAATAATTATAATTGAACCAAGGAACTGAACTTGTGTTCCAATAACTTGAATTGAACCTGAATACCTTCCATTCACCCAGGCACTGTATGATTCCTATGGGTTTAGTGTTCTCCCATAAATACAGTATACAGTACAATTATCATACCTAGTAGCATATGTGTAAATTACCTAGGACAGCCAAAAATGTCAGTGACTTATTTTCATTGTGGGTCATGTGCCCCTCAAGGGAGGTTCCTTGATGCTGGTGAGGGGCTCTTGATCTAGGGAATTGGATCTGTGCTCCAGTTCCTTGAATTGAGCCTGCTCTTCCTCATATACATCAATGATCTTCCAAACGTATCCCAACACCTGAACCCCATTCTCTTTGCTGACGACACGACTTGTCATCTCTCACCCTAATCTTGCCACCCTCAACACCATTGTTAATATTAACGAGGACCTGATCAAAATATCGGCTTGGATGACAGCCAATAAACTTATGCATAACACTGACAAAACCTACTATATTATGTTTGGTAGCAGAGCAGGAGTTGCGCAAATTAACATTAAGATCGACAACACTCTATTTGCCAGACATAATGAGGGCAAATTCCTAGGCCTATACCTCGACAACCTGAATTTCAGCACCCATATCCAGCACATAACCAAAAAAGTATCCAAAACGGTTGGGATCCTCTCCAAGATACGATACTACGTGCCGCAAAATGCCCTAATCACACTATACCACTCACTTATTTATCCATACCTCACCTATGCTATTTGTGCTTGGGGATCAACTGCAGCAACACACCTAAAGCCAATAATAACCCATTATTATTATTATTATTATTATTATTATCAAGGGGGAAGCGCTAAACCCAGAGGATTATACAGCGCCTGGGGGGGGGGATGTGGAAGGCATTCAGGCTTAATTCGGGGAACTGGAGCACAGATCCAATTCCCTAAATCAAGAGCCCCTCACCAACAGATAATAACCCAACAAAAAGCCGCAGTAAGAATAATCACTAAATCCCATCCCTGGCAACACACACCCCAACTCTTCATAGATCTAAACTTACTCCCTGTTCAGTACATCCACACTTACTACTGTGCAGTCTACATCTACAGGACCTTAAATTCCAATATTAACATTGACCTAATTATTATTATTATAATCAAGGGGGAAGCGCTAAACCCGGAGGATTATACAGCGCCTGGGGGGGGGATGTGGAAGGCATTCAGGCTTAATTCGGGGAACTGGAGCTCAGATCCAATTCCCTAAATCAAGAGCCCCTCACCAACATCAAGGAACCTTCCTTGAGGGGAACATTGACCTAAAACGATTTCTTGATAGTTGTGACAGAACCCACAGGCATAACACCAGACACAAACATCTCTACGACATTCCCCGTGTCCGACTAAACCTTTACAAAAATTCAATGTATGTCGAAGGCCCTAAAATCTGGAACACCCTACCTGAGAACTCTATAACTGCAGACACATTCATCACCTTCAAAACTACCATTAGAAAACATCTTATCTCCCTGATACACCCTGTCAACTAACTACACGAATACCACCTGGTGGTTCACACTTACCCATTTGACCATGAACAGAAATATCAATCTCAGTCTTAAAATAATGAATCCTAACTAGTCATAAGATGGCCTGTGATACTCCAATACTGAAACTATGTATTGTGCCAAAACAAAAGCATTCACATTGCTAAACTCACAAACTAGTATTTGGTCACTTAGCCATAATACCAACTTACCTCATAATTTGTAATATTTTAAATTTAAGAATTAATCTAAGTCTGCCCGAAATGCCTAGTCATGCTAGGTGTTCTAGTGGTACACTCTGTAATTATTATTTTACTACATGTAAACCACACAATAACCAAATTCTGTAAACTCAGCATTGTAATCCTTATAGAGAATAAACTTTGAATTTGAATTCCTCCCATCCCCCCACATGCACTGTATAATCCTACGGGTTTAGCGCTCCCCCATGATTATAATAATAATGCGGGCCATGTGATATACTGTACTTCGCTTTATTGAAATAAAGTTTATTTTGTTTTGAATGAAGCTACAGTTTTAGTTTAATATGTTTATTATGCACCCCATACCCATCCTGTGGGCGGTAGTCAAAAGATTAGAGGTACATAATTGGTCCAGGGACTGGACTCCAAAGTTTTGATAGCTGAGCAAGTTACAAAGGTAATGAACTAGATCTGGTCATAATCATGACCAAGTTACAAAGGTAATGAGCTCCAGGTTGAGCTGGTCACACTCATGAATAATTGCAAAGGTAATGAATCATAAACACATTAATCATGAGAATTTACAAAGGTAATGAGCTCCAGGTAGAGCTGGTCACAATCATGACAAGTTTCAAAGGTAATGAATGATAAACACGTTATGACATGATTACAATCATAGACAAATTACAGAGTAATGAGCAGTTAACAAACATAGTAGGGAATTCATCCAATGCCCCAACAACAGATGTTGCTAGGTGCCTGTCTCTCCTCGGTAGACAGCCATTGCAAACAGCAGCAAGTTGCCCCGGGATCTGCTGCTTGCACGAGCACCATCGACCCTCCCCAAGAGGTCCAAGAAGCCAGTGACTCCGTTAGCAGCCCGATGGAGAGCTGCCCTAGGGACATGTCAGCGTCCTGGTGGACGCCAAGAAAATGAGAAAAGTGATTTCTTGTATATCTAACATTCATGTGCTTAATACTGTAAGATGTTCCGCTCTTTAATGTTCAGGCAAATAGTTTAGCTTATTCCTTGTATATTTCATTTTATTATAACTGATTTTCACACAATTGAGTTACTTAGCTGTTTTAACTCTTAAGGTTTAAATAAGATATTACCAGAACCCCAATAGAAATAAGTCACTTTGACATTTTTGAGTTATCATAGGTAATTAACACATACGTTACTTATGTATGATAGCTTGTGTAACTATTTGTGTGTACCTGTACCTAAATAAACTTGCTTGTTTTCTTTTGTATTAAAAAGTTTAACCTGACTGGGAAGGCAGTGTTCATAAGACATACACTCCAGCGGCCCTTAACAACCCCACAACATAACAAGAAGGATGTGCTCCAGACATGACAGACCTTACAGAGTTGTACAAACAACTGTGCAAGAGATACAACATAGAGGAGCAGGAATGTGTCCAGGACGGGTTAGCACAGTAAGTAGCTCGTCATGATTTAAGTAAGCACCATTTCAGTATTGTTGACAAATATAAAGTTATGAAGTCACTAGCATGGTCAAGCATGCTAGTGACTTTCTTTGTGCTTAACAAGACTTTATTCCCATCAAAGGAGGTTCCTTGATGTTGGTGAGGGGCTCTTAATCAAGGAAATTGAATCTGCTCCTATTCCCTGAATACCTTTCCCCCTTCTACAGGTGCTGTATAATCCTTATGGGTTTAGCGCTCCCCATGATCATAGTGATAACAAGATTTTATTACATGTAAACTACGTTTGTATACTACACAAAGAAATATAAATTTTGATTTTTATTTGAATTTTTGGTTTTTAAGTGTCTGATTTTTTTTTTTGGGGGGGGGGAGGGGGAGATTATTCTAGGTAATTTACACTATGTATGATAAGTACCTAATTAAAATTACTTAAGGGATAAGATTAAGATAAAATTTGTTTGGTTTTTAACCTGGAAAGGATTTGGAACCCAGGATAACCCAAGAAAATGGTGTGTTATCAAGGACAGTCTTATTTCCATTGGCATCCTTTAATCTTGTCTCCCAGGATGTGGTCTGCAACAGTCGACTAACACCTAGGTACCTACTTACTGCTAGGTAAACAGGGACAGCAAGTGTAAGGAAAGATAAGATTTCGTTCGGATTTTTAACCCCGGAGGGTTAGCCACCCAGGATAACCCAAGAAAGTCAGTGCGTCATCGAGGACTGCCTAACTTATTTCCATTGGGGTCCTCAATCTTGTCCCCTAGGGTGTGACCCACACCAGTTGACTAACACCCAGGTACCTATTTGCTACTAGGAGAACAGGACCTGGAGTTTACCTGGAGAGAGTTCTGGGGGTCAATGCCCCCACGGCCCAGTCTCTGACCAGGAAACGCTGTGTTAGGAAACACGTCGAAATGTTTCCACCTGCTGGGAATTGAACCCGGGCCCTCCATGTGTGTGAAGCAGGAGCTTTAGCCACCAGGCCACCGGGCCCAATGTTTCCACCCATGCTGGAGACTGAACTACAGACACTTAGTATGTGAGCTGAGTGTGCTATCAACTGAGCCACGAGCATCCATACCGAGCTACAAGCATCCACATTGCCTGTGGGGGGGCTCTTAATCTAAGGAGCTGAACATGTGCTCCCCTTCCTTGGTTTGTACCTAAATGCCTCCCATTTCCTTAGGTACTGCATGAACCTTTCTGATTTAGTTGATTGTAATATGTATTATTAATGTATGACCTCTTTGGATTGAGCCCTCCCCATATACGGCCAGCCCTCCACTTTTGCGAGCTTCGAACATTCGCGAATACCCAGCCGCCCGGTTTTCATGTGTTTTATGGTTTTTCGTAGTTCGATAGGTTAAGTAAGCACTATTTTTAGGCTAAGTAAATGCTATTATTATATTTCCCTACAATATATTTGCACATCAAAACATTCGCGAATGCTACAGTACAGTATTATTATATTTCCCTACATCATATTTACGCACCAGACATTCGCAAATTTTCAAGATTCGTGAGGTTTTTGATCCCCTAATCCTTGAAAATGTGGCAGGCCTTTAGTATGTTAAATAATAATGGTGGTGGCAGTAGTAGTAGTAGTGGTAGTATCAGGGTAATTGGAGATGCGTGGTTTTTGTGGTTTGATGTTCTGTAGGAGTGTTTACTCTGAGTAAAGTACTGGTATATAACATTCATGATGGAAATCAGAAAAGCTGCTTAGCTGGACTTGACTTGTGAAGGTGGCAGGTACAGTGTCTTCACTCTGAAGGATGGGTGGGGATATTATAGTTTGGACTATCACTGAGTGAGTGATAGTAAATGTGTTTTTCATCTTTGATTCATCCTGCATTGGTGGGAAATTACTAGTGTGATAAAAATGAATTGCTGTGATAAAAATAAACTACTTTCTTAATTTTGTTTAATTTACAGGGGCAGCACTCTAGATCTCTCCAACCAGACACTTGACATTGGCACTTGTGCTGTTTTAGGCAAGATTATGCAGATATCGAATGTAATCAACAAGGTTGGTGTTTACTGCATCTACCTTTATTTGACTTTCAAATACTGGATCTAAATTATTGATTTAATATCCTCAGTGATTTATAGTCGACTAAAAAAAATTAGCTGAGGAGGAGTTGCTTATTTTGTTTCAGTTTAAACCAGGTGTTCCCAACCTTTTCTATTCCTCACACTTCTAGGAAATGTTTGATTAATGTTGCACCCTCTACAAAAGTAATATCACATTTGATATTACTTGCTCAGATATAAATTGAGCAATTAGAAAATTATTTGGTAAAATAAACGGGGTTGTGTTTTTCATTAGGACTGTCGCACCCCCTAAAATGCCATCTCACACCCCCCTGGGGGTACATGCATCCCAGGCTGGGAACCCCTGGTTTAAACCTTACTCAGTACTTAACATATTTTGGGGGCTTATAAGACACTCTGATGCATTAGACACATCCCAATTTAGAAGGTAATAATTAGAAAAAAAATTAGAGTGCCTAATACCAAGTAATATTTACTCCACTGAAACCTATGATAATTTTACATGCAGAAATAAGGTTAAGTTTGATTTATGATAGGCCTAGTGCTCACCTGAACACCAGATGATCTCTCAGTTTGAATTGGTGAAACAGTCACTAGTGGTCGAGTCGCTGCTGTGTGCACAACTCTACATAGTGAGGGTCCCAGAGTGCATACTGATGCGTCTTTGTCAGTGACTGTCGATATAAACAAAAATGGCTGCTTCAGTTGTTATTGGGCCTCCGTATTTGCTTGGCAATATTTGACACTATACATGTATGTACAGACTCCTCACTTACTGACGAACTCGTTTACTGACAACTCGGAGTTATGATGGGCTCTCTGACGAGTTGTTATTGTACAGTGTACGAGAACTTGGGTCATGAATGGGCAGTACAGCATCTCAGCATCAAGCATCTGAATCTCCTTCCTTCAGCCACTCAGAAAACTAGCTTTCACAGTCTCCAAGACTACATATTTGTACAAATATGTATAAATTTGTACAAATATTATTTCCTCTTGGAAAAAGGAAATTTTTTATTTTATTATTATCACACCGGCCGATTCCCACCAAGGCAGGGTGGCCCGAAAAAGAAAAACTTTCACCATCATTCACTCCATCACTGTCTTGCCAGAAGGGTGCTTTACACTACAGTTTTTAAACTGCAACATTAACACCCCTCCTTCAGAGTGCAGGCACTGTACTTCCCATCTCCAGGACTCAAGTCCGGCCTGCCGGTTTCCCTGAATCCCTTCATAAATGTTACTTTGCTCACACTCCAACAGCACGTCAAGTATTAAAAACCATTTATCTCCATTCACTCCTATCAAACATGCTCACGCATGCCTGCTGGAAGTCCAAGCCCCTCGCACACAAAACCTCCTTTACCCCCTCCCTCCAACCCTTCCTAGGCCGACCCCTACCCCGCCTTCCTTCCACTACAGACTGATACACTCTTGAAGTCATTCTGTTTCGCTCCATTCTCTCTACATGTCCGAACCACCTCAACAACCCTTCCTCAGCCCTCTGGACAACAGTTTTGGTAATCCCGCACCTCCTCCTAACTTCCAAACTACGAATTCTCTGCATTATATTCACACCACACATTGCCCTCAGACATGACATCTCCACTGCCTCCAGAAGGAAAAAGGAAAAACAACAGGAAAATGGAAGAAGTACTAAAGAAGTTAACAGTAAATGGGTTAGCTAGTGTGGTCATCTGTGTTTACACTCTCGGTGTATTGCGGCAGCTTAAGAAATGATTAAACTCAGTGTACAAGGTATGTTGATGGTAATTTAATAATAACCTATATACGAAATACAAAATACATGGATTTGGAAAAGGCGTATGACAGGGTGGATAGGGGGGCAATGTGGCAGATGTTGCAGGTGTATGGTGTAGGAGGTAGGTTACTGAAAGCAGTGAAGAGTTTTTACGAGGATAGTGAGGCTCAAGTTAGAGTATATAGGAAAGAGGGAGATTATTTCCCAGTAAAAGTAGGCCTTAGACAAGGATGTGTGATGTCACCATGGTTGTTTAATATATTTATAGATGGGGTTGTAAGAGAAGTAAATGCGAGGGTCTTGGCAAGAGGCGTGGAGTTAAAAGATAAAGAATCACACATAAAGTGGGAATTGTCACAGTTGCTCTTTGCTGATGACACTGTGCTCTTGGGAGATTCTGAAGAGAAGTTGCAGAGGTTGGTGGATGAATTTGGTAGGGTATGCAAAAGAAGAAAATTAAAAATGAATACGGGAAAGAATAAGGTTATGAGGATAACAAAAAGATTAGGTGATGAAAGATTGGATATCAGATTGGAGGGAGAGAGTATGGAGGAGGTGAATGTATTCAGATATTTGGGAGTGGACGTGTCAGCGGATGGGTCTATGAAAGATGAGGTGAATCATAGAATAGATGAGGGGAAAAGGGTGAGTGGTGCACTTAGGAGTCTGTGGAGACAAAGAACTTTGTCCTTGGAGGCAAAGAGGGGAATGTATGAGAGTATAGTTTTACCAATGCTCTTATATGGGTGTGAAGCATGGGTGATGAATGTTGCAGCGAGGAGAAGGCTGGAGGCAGTGGAGATGTCATGTCTGAGGGCAATGTATTTTGATTTATTTTTTTTATCATCACACTTGCCGATTCCCACCAAGGCAGGGTGGCCTGAAAAAGAAAAACTTTCACCATCATTCACTCCATCACTGTCTTGCCAGAAGGGTGCTTTACACTACAGTTTTTAAACTGCAACATTAACACCCCTCCTTCAGAGTGCAGGCACTGTACTTCCCATCTCCAGGACTCAAGTCTGGCCTGCCAGTTTCCCTGAACCCCTTCATAAATGTTACTTTGCTCACACTCCAACAGCACGTCAAGTATTAAAAACCATTTGTCTCCATTCACTCCTATCAAACACGCTCATGCATGCCTGCTGGAAGTCCAAGCCCCTCGCACACAAAACCTCCTTTACCCCCTCCCTCCAACCTTTCCTAGGCTGACCCCTACCCTGCCTTCCTTCCGCTACAGACTGATACACTCTTGAAGTCATTCTGTTTCGCTCCATTCTCTCTACATGTCCGAACCACCTCAACAACCCTTCCTCAGCCCTCTGGACAACAGTTTTGGTAATCCCGCACCTCCTCCTAACTTCCAAACTACGAATTCTCTGCATTATATTCACACCACACATTGCCCTCAGACGTGACATCTCCACTGCCTCCAGCCTTCTCCTCGCTGCAACATTCATCACCCATGCTTCACACCCATATAAGAGCGTTGGTAAAACTATACTCTCATACATTCCCCTCTTTGCCTCCAAGGACAAAGTTCTTGTCTCCACAGACTCCTAGTGCACCACTCACCCTTTTCCCCTCATCAATTCTATGATTCACCTCATCATTTCATAGACCCATCCGCTGACACATCCACTCCCAAATATCTGAATACATTCAACCTCCCCATACTCTCTCCCTCCAATCTGATATCCAATCTTTCATCACCTAATCTTTTTGTTATCCTCATAACCTTACTCTTTCCTGTATTCACTTTTAATTTTCTTCTTTTGCATACCCTACCAAATTCATCCACCAATCTCTACAACTTCTCTTCAGAATCTCCCAAGAACACAGTGTCATCAGCAAAGAGCAACTGTGACAACTCCCACTTTATGTGTGATTCTTTATCTTTTAACTCCACGCCTCTTGCCAAGACCCTCGCATTTACTTCTCTTACAACCCCATCTATAAATATATTAAACAACCACGGTGACATCACACATCCTTGTCTAAGGCCTACTTTTACTGGGAAATAATTTCCCTCTTTCCTACATACTCTAACTTGAGCCTCACTATCCTCGTAAAAACTCTTCACTGCTTTCAGTAACCTACCTCCTACACCATACACCTGCAACATCTGCCGCATTGCCCCCCTATCCACCCTGTCATATGCCTTTTCCAAATCCATAAATGCCACAAAGACCTCTTTAGCCTTATCTAAATACTGTTCACTTATATGTTTCACTGTAAACACCTGGTCCCCACACCCCTACCTTCCTAAAGCCTCCTTGTTCATCTGCTATCCAATTTTCCATCTTACTCTTAATTCTTTCAATAATATCTCTACCATACACTTTACCAGGTATACTCAACAGACTTCTCCCCCTATAATTTTTGCACTCTCGTTTTTTCCCCTTTGCCTTTATACAAAGGAACTATGCATGCTCTCTTGCCAATCCCTAGGTACCTTAAACCCCTCTTCCATACATTTATTAAATAATTGCACCAACCACTCCAAAACTATATCCCCACCTGCTTTTAACATTTCTGTCTTTATTCCATCAATCCCGGCTGCCTTACCCCCTTTCATTTTACCTACTGCCTCACGAACTTCCCCCACACTCACAACTGGCTCCCCCTCACTCCTACAAGATGTTATTCCTCCTTGCCCTATACTCGAAATCACAACTTCCCTAACTTCATCAACATTTAACAATTCCTCAAAATATTCCCTCCATCTTCCCAATACCTCTAACTCTCCATTTAATAACTCTCCTCTCCTATTTTTAACTGACAAATCCATTTGTTCTCTAGGCTTCCTTAACTTGTTAATCTCACTCCAAAACTTTTTCTTATTTTCAACAAAATTTGTTGATAACATCTCACCCACTCTCTCATTTGCTCTCTTTTTACATTGCATCACCACTTCTTAACCTCTCTCTTTTCTCCATATACTCTTCCCTCCTTGCATCACTTCTACTTTGTAAAAACTTCTCATATGCTAACTTTTTCTCCCTTACTATCTCTTTTACATCATCATTCTACCAATCGCTCCTCTTCCCTCCCGCACCCACTTTCCTGTAACCACAAACTTCTGATGAACACTCTGACACTACATTTTAAACTACCCCATACCTCTTCGACCCATTGCCTATGCTCTCATTAGCCCATCTATCCTCCAATAGCTGTTTATATCTTACCCTAACTGCCTTCTCTTTTAGTTTATAAACCTTCATCTCTCTCTTCCCTGATGCTTCTATTTTCCTTGTATCCCATCTACCTTTTACTCTCAGTGTAGCTACAACTAGAAAGTGATCTGATATATCTGTGGCCCCTCCTTAAACATGTACATCCTAAAGTCTACTCAACAGTCTTTTATCTACCAATACATAATCCAACAAACTACTGTCATTTCGCCCTACATCATATCTTGTATACTTATTTATCCTCTTTTTCTTAAAATATGTATTACCTATAACTAAACCCCTTTCTATACAAAGTTCAATCAAAGTGCTCCCATTATCATTTACACCTGGCACCCCAAACTTACCTACCACACCCTCTCTAAAAGTTTCTCCTACTTTAGCATTCAGGTCCCCTACCACAATTACTCTCTCACTTGGTTCAAAGGCTCCTATACATTCACTTAACATCTCCCAAAATCTCTCTCTCTCCTCTACATTCCTCTCTTCTCCAGGTGCATACACGCTTATTATGAGGGCAATGTGTGGTGTGAATATAATGCAGAGAATTCGTAGTTTGGAAGTTAGGAGGAGGTGCGGGATTACCAAAACTGTTGTCCAGAGGGCTGAGGAAGGGTTGTTGAGGTGGTTCGGACATGTAGAGAGAATCTAGCGAAACAGAATGACTTCAAGAGTGTATCAGTCTGTAGCGGAAGGAAGGCAGGGTAGGGGTCAGCCTAGGAAAGGTTGGAGGGAGGGGGTAAAGGAGGTTTTGTGTGCGAGGGGCTTGGACTTCCAGCAGGCATGCGTGAGCATGTTTGATAGGAGTGAATGGAGACAAATGGTTTTTAATACTTGACGTGCTGTTGGAGTGTAAGCAAAGTAATATTTATGAAGGGATTCAGGGAAACTGGCAGGCCGGACTTGAGTCCTGAAGATGGGAAGTACAGTGCCTGCACTCTGAAGGAGGGGTGTTAATGTTGCAGTTTAAAAACTGTAGTATAAAGCATCCTTCTGGCAAGACAGTGATGGAGTAAATGATGGTGAAAGTTTTTCTTTTTCGGGCCACCCTGCCTTGGTGGGAATCGGCCAGTGTGTTAATAAAAAAAATAATAAAAAAAATACGTATGACATTTAAAGTGCTCCAGAGCGATTATTTATTATTATTATAAGTTATTATTATTATAAATTAATATTACCATCAACATACCTTGCTCACAGAGTTTAATTTTTTATTAACTATTGAACTGTCCAAACGTAGATTTACGTCCTCGTGGGGAGGGGGCTCCGAACATGTATCTACATTGTTTTTTTACATGCTTTCAAATGGGGAAAATCAAGGCCGGAGCGCTACGCACGTGAACGTAGATCTACGATTGCACAGTTTAAGGGTTAAAATGCTGTGAGACAGAGAGCATAAAATATTACTCAGAAAAAAATTCAGGAAAAATCTTGCTGTTTTTGCGTTTTTTCTTATGATAAGAGTGATCTAGGAGAATTTGCCCTGATGTAAATACCATTTTCTTTCGTTATAGACCAGAGGTACAGACGAGAGAACGTATCTGTTGAATGATCTTAGAGCAGCAGCTTCCACTGTCTACCCCACTCACATAATATGGTATATATTATTCATTTCGGCACCTTTATTACATTTCTAGGCTATTTTTCGTGTTTCTGATATAAATTTGGAGTAAATGTGATAGATAGATAACCTCTATTATGTACTAATGTTAGTGTAATTACACATTTTATTAGTGCTAAGGCTAACATCCAACACCCATTGACGATTCACCAGATACTGAATGCTCCTGCTGGCCTTCCCTATAGCTCCTCTCGCTTTGTAATGATGTTATATGGTGACTTTAATGTATTAGATAAAAAAATTTAAAAATTCAGAAAAAAAATCTGAAAATTCACTACGTTCAGATGTATGTACTATATTACTCACTGCGTCATAAAATATAGTTTTTGTAAAATGACTATAATTCTTTGTAGAAGCATAGTACAAAGACGATATACCAAAATGTTGCCAGATTCTTAAGCTATTTTTCTGTAAGCTTAACTTGTTGTGTGTGTATTTTACTTTTTTATTGTTTTCTGTATAATATAAGAGTTATGCAAATTAAAATAAAGTTATCAAGTTGGAGTTTCATTTTTATTTTATTTTTTCTTTCTAATACATGTATTTAATTCACCATTTGGCATCGTTACAAAGTGGGCGGAGCTAGCTATAGCAGAGGGAGAAGCGAGCAGTGTCTCAGTAACTCATGGTTGCCCATGACGCATGGAGGGGTGTGCCTCTCAGCACGATAAAATATTGTATAATTATACTATTACTATCAACAAAGGTTATCTATCTATCATATTTATTCCAGAATAATATTATGTATAATATAAATAATGCAGACGCATGATAAAGATGCCCAAATTAATAAAAACTGACATTACATTGAGGTATTGAAGGGTGGAGGGCAGGGAGGGATAAAAAAAAATATAGTGACTGCAACCATTACAGAAGGGTAACTTTAGAAGATCACTCTTATCCTCTGCAAAAACCTGAAAAAAGTGCACGCGTTTCCTGGAATATCTTGGAAGTAAGTCATCGACGTATTTCATGTTGCATTACCGTATGGTACAATGGTACCATATGGTACCATATGCTACCATTGGTACCATTGTAGCATATGATTCAAAACCATAGAATTCTTCTTCAGATCCACTTCCATCAGTGTTAGAACTATAACTTGGGAAGAAGAGAGTCGGAATTTGCCGGGGAGTGAGAGCTTCCTTGCTGCCAGGCGTGATGAACAAAGTGTACCGAGATGGCATTCCCACAATGCAGTGCGGGTGCCCTGATTTTTTGTTTATTGTGCACACCCATTCTCTTAGATGTAGGCCTACCAGCCTTCTCACTCTAAATTTGAAGCTGCTAGAATTTTGACATAAATCTACAGCTTGGACCCTGGCTTCAAAGCTGTAAATCTATGGGACGGACCCTGAAAGGGTTAAACACGTGTCACAGGAATGTCAGGAAGTATTTCTTCATCCTCAAAGTAATCAGGAAGTGGAATGGCTCAGACAAAGTAGTAGTAGTAGAGGCAGGTTCCTTCCATAGGCTTTAAAAACAGGAATGACAGGGTCCAAGAGGCTAGGAGGGAGTAAATCCACCAGACATCAGAGCCAGGAGCCAAGACCGCTCCAGCAACCACAAATAGATGGGGACACCCTACTTTGTCACCCCATCAGAATCCCACCTTAGATAATGCAGTAGGCCTACTGCAGTATTCCATGGCCGTGCAGTGTTCCATGGTCCTCTCAACTATTCAGTCAACTTCGCCTCCCTCACCTGACCACGCTTTCTAGGACTACAATATATTTGATGTTTGTGTGTGTGGATTCTTTATAGACTTGAGAAAGTCCTGTTTAAGGTAAATTGATTTTTAATGAAAAAAATTGCTTCTGTTATTCGTGTCTTAAATTTCTCATTAATGAGAATTATTGGGGCAAACATCAACCTCTGTGGCACCCCACTGTTTGCATGTTTTTTAAACTAAAAAAATATTTTGTCCAGGTAATAGTTTAATAGTATTGTAGTTTCCAGATCAGTCTGTGATCAGAAACTCAGTTGAAATCTTTCTTGAAATTTAAATGTAATCTGCCTATCCATTTCAGTCTTCAATAATTTTTATGAGTGTCCTAGCACCTTTGTTAATTGGATGTACAGGAATTTTTTGATTCAGACTGAACTACATGTATATGATGGTTAGTAGCTTTTGGCTCTCAAATTCTTTTATATAGTTTTTCCATTTTTTCATTAATAATTTCACAACAGTGAGACAGACCTGTACCCCATAAGATCCTACTGGTCTCATTTTTCCGCATCTGTCAGTTTACCTTCTTGTAGAGATTATTTAATTTGTCTGCACATTCTTTCAGGAGTCATGGTGCTATCTTGTCAGGTACTATTGCTTTTTTCTTATCTACATATAATAATATCTTAAAAATTATCTTTGGGTATATACATATCCTCTATTTCAGTTGGGGACATTTTTGGGGTTTAACCCGTAAACAGTCCAAACGTATATATACGTTTTTTCAACATTTGATAGTATGTAAAAAAAGTAGATCTTCTTTTTTTTTGTTATATTTGAAAATATGTAAAAAATACGTAGGTCTACTTTTGGAGCACTACGCATGTGAACATAAATCTGCTTGGACCATTTACGGGTTAAATCTGCAACATCGACTGTCTCCTCCTTTCAAACTAATAGTGTGGGGATTCTTACATGTATGTAGCAGTTTTGGTCCCTAAGGCCTTCTTCCTTCATAGCCAGGATACAAAGGTAGAGAACCCTCAAAACTGGCCATAGGTATGTGTTCTGGTCCCTCATTTGTTTTCTCTTTGACTGTATGTACCACAACTGGCTCTTATGCTGGTCAGGTAGTTACAGAGCTGATGTTTTATTTGATGTCATGGTGTATTGATTTTTTAGGCCATGGTCACCTCACAATGCCTGGGGACTGCCACCTTGATTGACATAACTTTAGACATTTGTTAAACGAGTCATAAGTTCATCATACAAATTTATATTTGAAGGATAAAGGATGGGGTAATGTAATACATTTTGTGTTGCCTGTAGGTATTATAACTTTAATTCTTTTAAAAACATGTTATTCCCTTGTGGCAATAATACTATTTTTTGTTTTCATTTTGTCCATTCCTTGCCCTTTTCCTTACTTTTGTAAATCTAAATGTACACAGGCATATTTATTCTTACCTAACTTATATTCTGCCCTGACTTTTATAGACCTCAAGCATCCCTAATCTGTGTAATTGCTTTTTATTCTATGTTCTCTTATTGAATCATGCAGACTTCCACTTCAAATTACATATAGAAAAAATCAAAGAATTGAATCAAATTACAGTGCTGGCATATTAAAACTATATAATACATACTCTGTATGTATAATTTCAGGTGAGCTTTGGAGATTGCTTACTGAAAGAAGATGGCATCAAGTCAATTCTTCTAGGACTTTGTGGTAACACCTCTGTGAAGACGCTATCTCTGAAGGGTAACAGCATCCAGAGCAGCAGCACCCATGCACTGGCCAAGATGCTCAGGCATAACAATACTATTATCAGGTCTCATTTTCACCAGGTGTAGTTTTTATATTATGTAGAGGCTTTGTTTTTATGTTGGGTAATATTTAGCATTCACATGTGTGCCTTATTTAGTCATATGATTTTGGATGGTCTTTGTGGTAACTGTACAGTGGACCCCCGCCTTATGATGGCAGCACGTTATGTTAAATCCGCCATACGATACATTTGAACGCAAAAATTTTGCCTCGCCTCACGCGATTCGTCCAGGACGCATCCCACGTGTGGCCTCAGTGCCAGTGTTTACAAGCCAGCCAGTGTGGTCGCATCCACACATACATTCGGTACATTTCACCTTATCCCAGTGTTTTTTGTGCTTGTAACTGCAAAATAAGTCACCATGGGCCCCAAGAAAGCTTCTAGTGCCAACCCTGTTGTAAAAAGGGTGAGAATTAGTATGGAAATTAAGAAAGATTTTGAAGGGTTTGGGGCTAACCCTGAGAAGCCTATGCCAGTTGTGGAATCCATTGCGCCTACTTCAAAGATTAAGGAAATGTGTGCAAAGTGGGTTGAACTGCAAACCTTTATGGATGAAAAGCACCCTAACACAGCTATTGCAAGCCATGCTGGTGACTATTACAGTGACAATGTTGAAGCCCATTTTAGGCAAATCTTAAAGGAACGGGAGGTACAGAGCTCTGTGGACAGATTTGTTGTGCAACAGAGGTCCAGTGACTCAAGCTGGTCCTAGTGGCATTAAAAGAAGAAGGGAAGTATCCCCGGAAAAGGACTTGATACCTCAAGTCCTAATGGAAGGGGATTCCCCTTCTAAACAATAACAACTTCCACACACTCCCCTCCTCCCATCCCATCAATCATCACCAGATCTTCAATAAAGGTAAGTGTCATGTATTCTATTCTTAGCAGAGTATTAATTGTGCATGTATTCTTAAGTTTGCATGTATTAAAATTAATATTTCATGTGGCAAAACTTTTTTTTTCAGACTTTAGGGTGTCTTGCACGGATTAATTTGATTTCCATTATTTCTTATGGGGAAAATTAATTCGCCTTACGATAATTTCGGCTCACGATGAGCTCTCAGGAACGGATTAATATTGTAAGGCGGGGGTCCACTGTATTATATTGACAATTGATGCTATGGAGCTCTTAGAAAGTGTAGAGTACTGTAAACTGTGTTAAGAAAAATCAGATGTTACAGAACAAGCTTTTATTAAAACAAAATTTTGCTCTATGTAGAACTTTATCATGACTTGATAAAGCTCTACACAGCTTCTTCTGCAACATGTCTTTTTATCACTTGTTGGCAGAACATCATTTAAATCCTGCTACTGTATATACATATTTTTATGAAATACCTCTGCTGTTTATTTTTGAGATTTACAAAGTTAAAATGTAAAAGTAATATAATAAGCATTTACAGTGAAGCATATAAGTGAGCAATATGTAGATAAAGGTAGGGAAGTTTTCATTGCATTTATGGATTTAGGAAAGGCATATGATAGGGTGGATTGGGGAGCAATGTGGCAGATGTTGCAAGTGTATAGAATAGTTAGTAAGCTACTAAATGCTGTAGAGAGTTTTTATGAGGCTAGTGAGGTTCACGTTAAGGTGTGTAGGAGGGAGGGAGATACTTTCCAGTAAAAGTATGACTTAGACAGGGTTGTGTAATGTCATCATGGTTGTTTAACATATTTATAGATGAGGTTGTAAAAGAAGTAAATGCTAGGGAGAGGGATGGGATTAAATTATGGGGAATCAAATTCAAAATGGGAGTTGACATAGTTACTCTTAGCTAATGATACTGTTTTCTGAGAGATTTTAAAGAGAAGTTGCAAAGGTTAGTGGATGAGTTGGGGAGGGTATGTAAAGGAAGAAAGTTGAAAGTGAACATAGATAAGTGTAAGGTGATAAGGGTATCAAACAAGTCAGGTAAAGAAAAATTGTATATTTTCCACTTCCCTGTAGAGAAAATGTTTATGTAACTACATATGTACTTCATGGGGAAGCAGAGAAGAATCCTTCTGTAATTCATGCATATTATAAGAGGTGAGTAAAATGCCTGGAGCAAGGAGCTAGTGATCCCTTCTCCCATATAAATTACTAAATGTAAAATGAAGAAAAACTTTACGAAGGTGTTTCGTCTCTTTCAGGTCACCTTGTTTTGGTGGGGGATGGCCGGTATGTTAAAAAAAATGCATATATACATGTATACATATATATGTGTATTTACATATATACATGTGTGTTAAAAAAATACATATATACATGTATGTATATTTCTTTCTTTCTTCTTTCAACGAACCGTCTGTATCCCACCGAAGCAGGGTGGCCCAAAAAGAAAAATGAAAATTTCTCTTTATAAATTTAGTAATGTATATAGAAGGGGTTACTAGCCCCTTGCTCCCGGCATTTTAGTTGCCTCTTACGACACGCATGGCTTATGGAGGAAGAATTCTGTTCCACCTTCCCATGGAGTTAAGAGGAAATAAACAAGAACAAGAACTAGCAAGAAAAGAGAAGAAAACCCAGAGGGGTGTGTGTATAGATATGCTTGTATATGCATATGTAGTGTGACCTAAGTGTAAGTAGAAGTAGCAAGATGTACCTGAAGTCTTTCTTGTTTATGAGACAGAAAAAGACATCAGCAATCCTACCATTATGTAAAGCAATTACAGGCTTCCATTTTACACTCGCTTGGCAGGACAGGAGTACCTCCCTGGGTGGTTGCTGTCTACCAACCTTCTACCTAGGATAGTTCTTTCTGTTTACATACAGTATATTTTTTCAACACATCAGCTGTCTCCCACCTAGGCAGGGTGACCCCAAAACAAAAAGAAACGCTTTCAATATCATTCACACACAATCACTGTCTTTGCAGAGGTGCATGGAAACTACAGTTCAGATGTTACTCCAAACAGCAAATATCCCAAACCTGTGATCATGGTCATGAGCCTTATGGTCTAGAAGTTGTATTTTTGGCTAAATTAGAAAAGTAGGTAACACAAGGTTGGGAACCACTGACCTAGAGGATCACTAGTGCCTCCCCTGAAAGGGAAGAAGAGGATACCTTGATACTGGTAAAGGGCTCTTGCTCCAAGATTTTAAATCTCTCCTTCCCTTGGATCAAATCTGATTAGCTCCCATTCCTTTTATATTAAAAATAATAAAAAAGAGTGGTGGCTAGAGAGGCTTATATCTGATGACTTTTTTTTTTTTTTTTTTTTAACACCACCCATCTCCTAGTAGGGTAGGGTGACCCAAAAAAGAAGAAACAATTTCACTGTCACTCACTCCATCACTGTCTTGCAAGAAGCAGATGAGAGTCACATAAGAGAATATCTACAATTTCTATTTGTTCTTTTTTTAGTTGCTTTATAAACAAAATTTAACTTAAGGCTTGTTTCAGGCTGTCTTTGGAGTGGAATAACTTGGGGCTATGCTCTGAGAGTTTTTCATCTTTCTGCGAGGCCCTTGGAAGCAATTCAACCCTACAGTACTTAGACCTACGTAGTAACCAGCTGGGCATAGATTGTGGACCACATTTGGCTCGAGCACTAGCTAGAAACTGCAGTTTATCATCTCTTGGTTAGTATTGTTAATTGTGATTTTTTTTAACATGGCTGTTTCCCACTGAGGCAAGGTGACCCAAAAAGAAAGAAAGAAAAACTTTCATCATTGTTCAACACTTTCACCATCATTCATACATAATCACTGTCTATGCAGAGGTGCTCAGATATGACTATTTAGACATCACTCCAAAACAGCCAATATCCCAAACCCCTCCTTTAAAGTGCAGGCATTGTACTTCTCACCTCCAGGACTCGAGTCCGGCTAACTGGTTTCCCTGAATCCCCTCACAAAATATTACCCTGGTTACACTCCAACAGCTTGCGAGGTCCCCAAAACCATTCATCTCCATTCACTCCTATCTGACACTGATGCACGCTTGCTGGAAGTCCAAGCCCCTCACCCACAAAACCTCCTTTACCTCCCCTCCCTCCAACCTTTCCTAGGATGACACCTACCCTGCCTTCCTTCCACTACAGCCCTCTGACTAATACTTTTAATTTTGATATGTTAAAAAATTGTATTTGGCTCTGTGATTGATAAATAGGCAGAATAATACTGTACTGTATTTTCTTTTTTATCATAATTATGAAATCTCTGTACAAATGAGAGATTTTTTATATTTTTTTTTTATGTGGAAAAGCTAAACCCATAAGAGTTACAAAGCACCTGGTATATTTATATGGTATATATACCGTAAGAGTAAGGTGATGAGGGTATCATATGATTTAGGTAAAGAAAATTGGATATCATATTGGAGGGAGGGAGGGAGTATGGAGGAAGTGAATGTGTTCAGGTATTTGGGAGTTGATTTGTCAGCAGATGTGTTTATGAAGGATGAGTTTAACTATAGAATTGATGAAGAAAAAAAGGTGAGTGGTGCACTGAGGTATCTGTGGAGACAAAAAAACGTTATCCATGGAGGCAATGAAGGGAATGTACGAGAGTATAGTGGTACCAACACTCTTATATGGGTGTGAAGCATGGGTTGTAAATGCTGCAGCAAGGAGGAGGCTGGAGGTAGTGGAGATGTCGTGTCTAAGGGCAATGTGTGGTGTAACTATTATGCTGAGAATTCGTACTGTGGAAATTAGGAAGTGTGGAGTTTCTAAAAGTATTAGTCAAAGGGCTGAAGAGGGGTTGTTGAGATGGTTTGGTCATTTACAGAGGATGGAGCAAATTAGGATGACTTGGAGGGTGTATAAATCTGTACTGGAGGGGAGGAGGGGTAGGGGTTGTCCTAGGAAAGGATGGAGGGAGGGGGGTAAAAGAGGTTTTGTGTACAAGGGGCTTGAACATACAGCAGGCGGTATATGTGAGCATGTTAGGAGTGAATGGAGACGAATGGTTTTTGGGACCTGACAAGCTGTTGGAGTGTGAGCAGGGTAATATTTTTTGAAGGATTCGGGGAGACTTGCTAGCTGGACTTGAGTCCTGGAGGTGGGAAGTACAATGCCTGCACTTTAAAGGAGGGGTTTGGGATATTGGCTATTTGGAGTGACATCTAAACTGTCGTATCTGAGCACCTCTGCAAAGACAGTGATTATGTGTTAATGATGGTGAAAATTTTGAATGTTAGTGAAAGTGTTTCTTTCTTTTTTGGGTCACTCTGCCTCAGTGGGAAACGACCAATGTGTTAAAAAAAATATACTGCATATATGCCCCAGTAAAGTCAGTATTACTTATTTCTATGTTCTGAAGAGTATTACACTCTGAAACAATTGTAATGTTATAAGTATTCATTTTACATAGCCTTAGAAGACCAAAATAGTAAAAAATAAAAGAATGAAAACCAGTCATACTGTAGATATACTGATTATTCCAAGTGAAGCAATGTTTGAAGTGCTAAAACACCTTGAAACACACTTTATATTATAAAAAACTAGTATGCAAAACATTAAACATTAAAATGAATTAAAAAGACAGAAAAACAATCATATATTAGCATCAGTAATTTGTAAAATACAAATACTAATGTTTATTTCTCCATGAAGATTACAATGTGGGGTTTGCATAGTATGAAATATTGGTTGCAATGTGTGGTTTACATCTAAAATACTAATTACAAACAGGGCCACTATCATGCCTAGCATGACTAGGCATTTTGGGCAGACTAATAATAATTCTAACTACAGTATATTGATACAGGTTATGGAGCATATTGATATTAAAGCTAGGTAACTGCATTACAGTTTGTAAATTTAGCAATGAGAATGGTTTTGTCTTGGCATGATACACAGTTTCTGTTAAAGCTCCTATATTGGAGTATCTCAGGCAAACTTATTACTAGTTTAAGATTTGTTAGTCAATAGTGTTATTCAAAATTTTATGTTTACAGTCATTTGGGTAAGTGTAAGTGTAAATTGGGGGGAAGAATCACAGATATCGAGAGTATGTCTAGTTCGTTTTTTATGCGTGCATGATACAACTAAGAGAATAGCTAGCTGATGGAGGGGTGTGTCAGGGAGATAAGATGTTTTTTAACGATAGTTTTGAAAGTGATGGTTGTGTCTGCAGTTCTAGACTTCTCAGGCAGGGAGTTCCAGATTTTAGGCAAGAGGCGTGGAGTTAAAAGATAAAGAATCACACACAAAGTGGGAGTTGTCACAGCTGCTCTTTGCCGATGACACTGTGCTCTTGGGAGATTCTGAAGAGAAGTTGCAGAGATTGGTGGATGAATTTGGTAGGGTGTGCAAAAGAAGAAAATTAAAGGTGAATACAGGAAAGAGTAAGGTTATGAGGATAACAAAAAGATTAGGTGATGAAAGATTGAATATCAGATTGGAGGGAGAGAGTATGGAGGAGGTGAACGTATTCAGATATTTGGGAGTGGACGTGTCAGCGGATGGGTCTATGAAAGATGAGGTGAATCATAGAATTGATGAGGGAAAAAGAGTGAGTGGTGCACTTAGGAGTCTGTGGAGACAAAGAACTTTGTCCTTGGAGGCAAAGAGGGGAATGTATGAGAGTATAGTTTTACCAACGCTCTTATATGGGTGTGAAGCGTGGGTGATGAATGTTGCAGCGAGGAGAAGGCTGGAGGCAGTGGAGATGTCATGTCTGAGGGCAATGTGTGGTGTGAATATAATGCAGAGAATTCGTAGTTTGGAAGTTAGGAGGAGGTGCGGGATTACCAAAACTGTTGTCCAGAGGGCTGAGGAAGGGTTGTTGAGGTGGTTCGGACATGTAGAGAGAATGGAGCGAAACAGAATGACTTCAAGAGTGTATCAGTCTGTAGTGGAAGGAAGGCGGGGTAGGGGTCGGCCTAGGAAGGGTTGGAGGGAGGGGGTAAAGGAGGTTTTGTGTGCGAGGGGCTTGGACTTCCAGCAGGCGTGCGTGAGCGTGTTTGATAGGAGTGAATGGAGACAAATGGTTTTTAATACTTGACGTGCTGTTGGAGTGTGAGCAAAGTAACATTTATGAAGGGATTCAGGGAAACCGGCAGGCCGGACTTGAGTCCTGGAGATGGGAAGTACAGTGCCTGCACTCTGAAGGAGGGGTGTTAATGTTGCAGTTTAAAAACTGTAGTGTAAAGCACCCTTCTGGCAAGACAGTGATGGAGTGAATGATGGTGAAAGTTTTTCTTTTTCGGGCCACCCTGCCTTGGTGGGAATCGGCCGGTGTGATAATAAAAAAAATATAAAATAAATATTTGTATAGATTTAGCCGGACACAGGGAATGTCGTAGGGATTTTTGTCTGGTGCTGTGCCTGTGGGTCCTTTCACAATATAAACATTGCTGGAACTTTAATGCCACTGTTGCCAATTACTAATCATTTTTTCACCAACTTCAACACATTATAAAATTATAAACTTTTATCAGATTTTGCACATTTTGGTCATATTCGATTCAGAAAAACAAACTATCAATGTGTTAGATTTTTTATGTTTATCAAAATCTTCCCCCATACACAGGATTGTTTTTTCAGGCTATTCCCCAGTTTAAGGGTTAGATATTGCTCTAACATCATTAATGTTGACAAAAAGTTTATAGAAAAAAAAAAAAACAGATTTTGCCATGCTCACGTGTGGGAAAGCTTGTTTAAAATATTATGTTTCACTAACTTCATTCTTATTGTTTTTAACTGGGCCTATCCACCCCTTCCTTGGATTGAATCTAATTGCCTCCCCAGGTACTGTATAACCCTTGTGAGTTTAGTGCATCTCACTGATGAAAAAAAAAGCATAAAATATGAACATGATATTATATAGTACCAACAAAGAATTGTTTAGGAGTGAATATCCCCAAGGGTAAAGAAATTAGTATCAAGTTTTTCTTTTACTTAATTAAAATTTTTTATGTACTTAATGTACAGTGCTGTTAAATTATATTATTCAGAGTCAGTGAATAGCATACAGTGTAACAAATTTGATGGTTCTTCCAGTGTCAGTGTTTTTAAATGGCTGAATATTCAAAGTAAGGAAATGGAAGATTAAAATTGAATGGATCAATCATTTTCTTGAAAAGTTTGATTTTTTCTATTTTTTTTTTTACTGCAAGAAATACAGATATGTTCTGCTGCCAGATTTAGGATGAGATTAACAAGAGTAAGTTTGAGGTAACATGAAATTTATATACTGTACATAAGTATTATGGTAGTAATATGCTCTTGACTAGAGAACTTTAAATATTATTTTCTTCATTTTTTCAGACGTAAGATGGAACAATTTAGGAGGAACTGGAGGAAAGGCCTTGTTGGAAAGCCTACACCACAACAGAACTCTCTCTAAAATAGATTTAGTGGGAAATGGAATACCAAATGAAGAAATTTCTGCCATTGGTAAGTATCCATAGTTTTCTGTCTTCTGGCTGTTGCTAGTGATTGTAGGATCTGTTTAATGAATTAGAACCAATTAGCCCTTATAAGAAATGTCCAAAAACAAAAGAAATTTTGCATCATTATGCATGTTTGTGCACTAATCTTTCCCTTTCCTCATGTATTACAGAAGAGCAGCATTGTTAAAGTATATTTAACATTTAATTTCAGTAACTGGATGAAATAGTTTAATAATAGAACACACCATGACCCATAAAGCTTTACTACATGTTTTTAACTATAATAATTATTAATAATGGTAATTATACAGCCTCTCCTCACTTAACGACGGAGTTCCGTTCCTAAGACCACGTCGGCAAACGAATTCATCACTAAACAAGGAGCATACTATAATGGTAGTGGGTTTGTGTCAACCATGTTTAATATTGTTTTAATGTCACCTTTGCACTATTTACAATGTTTTTGGTATATTTTTAAATGTTTATACAGTAGTGTACTGTACAGTGGACCCCTGGCTTACGATATTATTTCATTCCAGAAGTATGTTTAGGTGCCATTACTGAACGAATTTGTTCCCATAAGGAATATTGTGAATTAGATTAGTCCATTTCAGACCCCCAAACATACACGTAGAAACGCACTTACATAAATACACTTACATAATTGGTCGCATTGGGAGCTGATCGTAAAGCGGGGGTCCACTGTATATTGTAATAAACAGAATAGAGGAAATCAACTCTAATATACATTATTTAGGTATGCATACTAGTCAGAGAGCCTGTCATAAGTCCGAGTCATTGGTAAACAAGTACGTCACTAAGTGAGGAGAGACTGTAATGGCATGTAGAGAGGATGGAAAGGGATAGGATAAGAGGTTATACAAATCTCAAGTTTTTGTGACTTGAACATCTAGCAAAAGTGTTAGATAGGGGTGGAGACCAGTGGTTTTTAATGGACGTGCTGTTGGAGAGTGAGCAAGATAATTTTATTCAGGAATTCAAAAGAAACTGGTTAGCCAGGCTTGGGTCCTGGAAATGGAAAGAACAGTGCCTGCACTCTGAAGGAGGGGTAGGGATGTTGAAGCAGTTGAACGAATGATGACGAAGGTGAAAGATGGCTGTTGAATTAAAAAAAAAATAATACTGTAATAATAAAAAAAAAATCCAGAACCTTGTTATCTATCAGATTACTTGTTGGCACCACTGACTTTACTGTTGTGAGACAGGAGATATAAATCACTTGTCATTAACAGCTCTATGACCCTTGTGGGTTTAGTGCTTAGTTTTGATTGTAATAATAATAATAATTGTCATCAACAGAGATGCAGCTGAGCCAGAACAGCCGGTCAGCCATAATGACAAAGGAGTACACAAGTCGGACTGGTATCCTAAAGCAACAGCTGGAAGAACGTGAGCGCTACTCAGCCCAGCAAATTGAATATCTGGAGCGGTCTTTAGCACAAACAGACTTAACATTAAATAAAACTATTAAGTAAGCAAATTTATTGAGCTGTTAGCCACCATATCTAGAAAATTTTGGCTCAAAGTGTTCTATAGGCTTATTAATTTTTTGAGAGAAGAATTTCCATTTGAATGTCCTGGTAGGATTGAAGTTTTTCTAGTATATGATTACAGTGCTCCTAGGTAGTAGGTTGGTAGACAGCAACCGCCCAGGGAGGTACTACCGTCCTGCCAAGTGAGTGTAAAACGAAAGCCTGTAATTGTTTTACATGATGGTAGGATTGCTGGTGTCCTTTTTTCTGTCTCATGAACATGCAAGATTTCAGGTATGTCTTGCTACTTCTACTTACACTTAGGTCACACTACACATACATGTACAAGCGTATATATACACACCCCTCTGGGTTTTCTTCTATTTTCTTTCTAGTTCTTGTTCTTGTTTATTTCCTCTTATCTCCATGGGGAAGTGGAACAGAAGTCTTCCTCCATACGCCATGCGTGTTGTAAGAGGCAACTAAAATGCCGGGAGCAAGGGGCTAGTAACCCCTTCTCCTGTATATATTACTAAATGTAAAAGGAGAAACTTTCGTTTTTCCTTTTGGGCCACCCCGCCTCGGTGGGATACGGCCGATGTGTTGAAAGAAAGATTACAGTGCTTGCTTGTTATTACAAGAGCAGAGATGTACATGTAGGTTATGCTATGTAAGATGGTCAGGAAACAGGATAAGTGTTTCCTGATGCTGGTCTTAGTTATATGATGACCCACAACTAGAACTTTAGGTCATCTGACCAAGGCCTTTTGCTGGCTTACCGGTCCACTTCTTTAAAAATTATGATTACAATTATAACCAATACTTATTTTACATATAGTGTTTCACCTTCATTCTTTAGTTAATCTCATGCTGTCAGTTGTGCTATATTATTTATAAAGAAATTTTTTATAGCATCCTTTTGATAGTTTTTTTTAGTTTGAAACTGTTGTCCTTTTCTCCTTGTTTAGGGTGATGAAAAATTAACTTTATTTCATCATGATATATGTGGTTATAATGTCTCCTCCTTTCTTCCATCTCCCAGCAAATGTCTTGTCGGTCTTTCTTAGCTCTGTACTTTATTTTTCTTAACTCTGGAGGTTATTTTGTGCATGTAATTTTGGCTTTTTTATGTGCATTTTTTTAGCTGTAGACATCATAATACAGGTGCATTGTTGGATTTTGGTATAATTTATATTTTGAACAATATTTTCATCATGTCTTCATACATTTATAAGAAGACTGTTTTTTTTAGCTTGCTAGTATAACATACAAGTTTCTTACTATTGTATATACATGCTCTGCTGAAAAAATTCCTATTTATTTTTACTCCCAGAATCATTTATCATCTAGTTTTCAAATACAGTATCATATACAGTGCTAGTCACGGCATTATGCCGGGTGAGCGCCCTGGCATAATGCTGTGATGAAAATCAAAGGGCTTCCATACATGGGGGTCCTTTTTTGTCAGTGCATTATGCCGGGTAGCAGCCATTAGCATGATGTCACGGCCTGCTGCCACACTTCACAGTGACTCCTCAGTGTTCACATGGCTGCTGTGGTGAGAGGAAGTGTTACACTCTTGTCTCTTATCTGCCCCATCTTTTGTCCAGTGTTCCCTTTGGTTTTGGGGCTATACATGTTTGATTATGAGTAAAAGCAAGTCTTTAACACCTGAAACTATAGCTCAAATCATAGGGCTTCACAAAGCTGGGCACCAGATGAAAGAAACAGTGGAGAATGTTGGTGTGTGTAAGCATTCAGTGAGGAACTGGGTGCAGCGTTTCAAGGCTGGTGGCAGTGTCGAGTTACCATCTGCCAAACTTTGGCTTGGCTCCCTCGAAGAAGACATCTGTTCATATCTTAACTGTGTTAAAGAAGCATTTAGAGAGTACACCTAAGATAACTGCTAGAGAATTGAAAGAAAAGAACCCACATCTTCTCTCAGAGGTGTCTGTAAGAACTGTTAATACGTGTGTCAGAACTGGGCTAGTCACTGCCAGGTTAAAAAACCGATCCTCTCCAAGCTACAGAAGAAACGTAGGCTAGATTATGCAAAGAAATATCTTCACTGGAATCCTCAACAGTGGTCTGAAGTACTTTGGAATGATGAAGCAACCTTCACCATCACCTGTAACAGTGGGGGACATGTGTATCGGCCCAGAGGTAGTGACCCGCTAGACCCACGCTACACCTGTGGGACCACCAAACACCCAGACTCGCTCTTGGTTTGGGGGTGTTTCAGTGCTCATTGTTGGTGAACTCATTGTGTTTCCCCAAAACCAGTATATGAACCAGTATAATTACCTGGAGTTATTGTGTGACAATTTACCTGAGCCATTGACAATTGTGGGGCTATGGTTTTTATGCAGGATGGTGTACCATATCATACCACCAAATCTGTAGTTCAGTGGCTTAAGGACTGTGAAGTGAGGTTCTTTAATGACTGGCCAGGCAATTCCCCAGACCTAAACCCTATTGAGAACCTCTAGTCAATAGTGAAACAAAGTTTACTGGGCAATGATATCAGTTCCATCCCATGGCTGGAGGCTGCTCTACATGATGCATGGAATAATGTACCTCCCCAAACCCTCAAGAATTTGTGTGAGAGTCTTCCTACATGGCTGAGGGATGTGATTAAGTGTAAAGGATGCAGCACCAAGCATTAAAACCTCAATAAGTGTCCAAATATATACATTATAATCTTTCATAGTATGAGTTTGTGTTTTGGTATGTGTGTGGGGGAGGGGCGGTATAATACCATGACTAGCACTGTAGTCTATACTCTTTACTTGGCAGATGCTAATATTAAATCTCATCATCCATTCATCACCTCACTAGCATAACCCATCTAAGTTGTCATGTAGAGATTTACAATAATTTTTATTTTATTTGCATAGGATTTTTGCATCATCTGCAAATGCCTTTGTAATGGAAGTTCTTTATAAAACACTCTAGCTGTCTCTCCAAAATATTTGAACTCCCCTTTCCTTTTGTTGTTCAACTCTGATTACCTTCTTATCCTTAGGTGCTATGTAACCCAAAGGGTTAAGTGTTTTCCTATGAATTATTATTTTATTTATTATCACACTGGCCGATTCCCACCAAGGCAGGGTGGCCCGAAAAAGAAAAACTTTCACCATCATTCATTCCATCACTGTCTTGCCAGAAGGGTGCTTTACACTACAGTTTTTAAACTGCAACATTAACACCCCTCCTTCAGAGTGCAGGTACTGTACTTCCCATCTCCAGGACTCAAGTCCGGCCTGCCAGTTTCCCTGAACCCCTTCATAAATGTTACTTTGCTCACACTCCAACAGCATGTCAAGTATTAAAAACCATTCGTCTCCATTCACTCCTATCAAACACGCTCACGCACGCCTGCTGGAAGTCCAAGCCCCTCGCACACAAAACCTCCTTTACCCCCTCCCTCCAACCTTTCCTAGGCCGACCCCTACCCTGCCTTCCTTCCACTACAGACTGATACACTCTTGAAGTCATTCTGTTTCGCTCCATTCTCTCTACATGTCCGAACCACCTCAACAACCCTTCCTCAGCCCTCTGGACAACAGTTTTGGTAATCCCGCACCTCCTCCTAACTTCCAAACTACGAATTCTCTGCATTATATTCACACCACACATTGCCCTCAGACATGACATCTCCACTGCCTCCAGCCTTCTCCTTGCTGCAACATTCATCACCCATGCTTCACACCCATATAAGAGCGTTGGTAAAACTATACTCTCATACATTCCCCTCTTTGCCTCCAAGGACAAAGTTCTTTGTCTCCACAGACTCCTAAGTGCACCACTCACCCTTTTCCCCTCATCAATTCTATGATTCACCTCATCCTTCATAGACCCATCCGCTGACACGTCCACTCCCAAATATCTGAATACATTCACCTCCTCCATGCTCTCTCCCTCCAATCTGATATCCAATCTTTCATCACCTAATCTTTTTATCCTCATAACCTTACTCTTTCCTGTATTCACTTTTAATTGTCTTCTTTTGCACTCCCTACCAAATTCATACACCAATCTCTGCAACTTCTCTTCAGAATCTCCCAAGAGTACAGTGTCATCAGCAAAGAGCAACTGTGACAACTCCCACTTTGTGTGATTCTTTATCTTTTAACTCCATGCCTCTTGTCAAGACCCTCGCATTTACTTCTCTTACAACCCCATCTATAAATATATTAAACAACCACGGTGACATCACACATCCTTGTCTAAGGCCTACTTTTACTGGGAAATAATTTCCTTCTTTCCTACATACTCTAACTTGAGCCTCACTATCCTCGTAAAAACTCTTCACTGCTTTCAGTAACCTACCTCCTACACCATACACCTGCAACATCTGCCACATTGCCCCCCTATCCACCCTGTCATATGCCTTTTCCAAATCCATAAATGCCACAAAGACCTCTTTAGCCTTATCTAAATACTGTTCACTTATATGTTTCACTGTAAACACCTGGTCCACACACCCCCTACCTTTCCTAAAGCCTCCTTGTTCATCTGCTATCCTATTCTCTGTCTTACTCTTAATTCTTTCAATAATAACTCTACCATACACTTTACCAGGTATACTCAACAGACTTTTTTTTTTTTTTTTTCAACAAGTCGGCCGTCTCCCACCGAGGCAGGGTGACCCAAAAAAAAGAAAGAAAATCCCCAAAAAGAAAATACTTTCATCATCATTCAACACTTTCACCACACTCGTACATTATCACTGTTTTTGCAGAGGTGCTCAGAATACAACAGTCTAGAAGCATACACATATAAAGATACACAACATATCCCTCCAAACTGTCAATATCCCAAACCCCCCCTATAATTTTTGCACTCTCTTTTGTCCCCTTTGCCTTTATACAAAGGAACTATGCATGCTCTCTGCCAATCCCTAGGTACCTTACCCTCTTCCATACATTTATTAAATAATTGCACCAAGCACTCCAAAACTATATCCCCACCTGCTTTTAACATTTCTATCTTTATCCCATCAATCCCGGCTGCCTTACCCCCTTTTATTTTACCTACTGCCTCACGAACTTCCCCCACACTCACAACTGGCTCTTCCTCACTCCTACAAGATGTTATTCCTCCTTGCCCTATACACGAAATCACAGCTTCCCTAACTTCTTCAACATTTAACAATTCCTCAAAATATTCCCTCCATCTTCCCAATACCTCTAACTCTCCATTTAATAACTCTCCTCTCCTATTTTTAACTGACAAATCCATTTGTTAATCTCACTCCAAAACTTTTTCTTATTTTCAACAAAATTTGTTGATAACATCTCACCCACTCTCTCATTTGCTCTCTTTTTACATTGCTTCACCACTCTCTTAACCTCTCTCTTTTTCTCCATATAGTCTTCCCTCCTTTCATCACTTCTACTTTGTAAAAACTTCTCATATGCTAACTTTTTCTCCCTTACTACTCTCTTTACATCATCATTCCACCAATCGCTCCTCTTCCCTCCCGCACCCACTTTCCTGTAACCACAAACTTCTGCTGAACACTCTAACACTACATTTTTAAACCTACCCCATACCTCTTCGACCCCATTGCCTATGCTCTCATTAGCCCATCTATCCTCCAATAGCTGTTTATATCTTTCCCTAACTGACTCCTCTTTTAGTTTATAAACCTTCACCTCTCTCTTCCCTGATGCTTCTATTCTCCTTGTATCCCATCTACCTTTTACTCTCAGTGTAGCTACAACTAGAAAGTGATCTGATGTATCTGTGGCCCCTCTATAAACATGTACATCCTGAAGTCTACTCAACAGTCTTTTATCTACCAATACATAATCCAACAAACTACTGTCATTTCGCCCTACATCATATCTTGTATACTTATTTATCCTCTTATTCTTAAAATATGTATTACCTATAACTAAACCCCTTTCTATACAAAGTTCAATCAAAGGGCTCCCATTATCATTTACACCTGGCACCCTAAACTTACCTACCACACCCTCTCTAAAAGTTTCTCCTACTTTAGCATTCAGGCCCCCTACCACAATTACTCTCTCACTTGGTTCAAAGGCTCCTATACATTCACTTAACATCTCCCAAAATCTCTCTCTCTCCTCTGCATTCTTCTCTTCTCCAGGTGCATACACGCTTATTATGACCCACTTCTCGCATCCAACCTTTACTTTAATCCACATAATTCTTGCATTTACACATTCATATTCTCTTTTCTCCTTCCATAACTGATCATTCAACATTACTGCTACCCCTTCCTGTGCTCTAACTCTCTCAGATACTCCAGATTTAATCCCATTTATTTCCCCCCACCGAAACTCCCCTACTCCCTTCAGCTTTGTTTTGCTTAGGGCCAGGACATCCAACTTCTTTTCATTCATAACATCAGCAATCATCTGTTTCGTGTCATCCGCACTACATCCACGCACATTCAAGCATCCCAGTTTTATAAAGTTTTTCTTCTTCTCTTTTTTAGTAAATGTCTACAGGAGAAGGGGTTACTAGCCCATTGCTCCCGGCATTTTAGTCGCCTCATACGACACGCATGGCTTACGGAGGAAAGATTCTTTTCCACTTCCCCATGGACAATAGAAGAAATAAAGAAGAACAAGAGCTATGTAGAAAAAGGAGAAAAACCTAGATGTATATATATATATATATATGCATGTGCGTGTCTGTGAAGTGTGACCAAAGTGTAAGTAGGAGTAGCAAGATATCCCTGTTATCTAGCGTGTTTATGAGACAGAAAAAGAAACCAGCAATCCTACCATCATGCAAAACAGTTACAGGTTTCTGTTTCACAGTCATCTGGCAGGACGGTAGTACTTCCCTGGGTGGTTGCTGTCTACCAACCTACTACGGTTTTACACATATTTATATATGAATATAATAATAATTTGGCTGTCTCTAGGTTCCAGTGCACCAATCACAACTTTCCTGAATCGCAACAAGAGTACAGTATTGCCTTCATGTTAGCAAGTCTTTTTGTCATTCATTCAACACAGTTATTATAACTCTTAAAGGAATTTTAGCAAGTTTCTTGCCATCTTGACTTCATATAGACTTTTTATTCTCTTTCTTGTAATATTAATTTACATAAAGCAATATTCACTTTCAACTGTCTGTTTACCATACTTGTATGGTAAACAGACAGTTTACCATACAAGTATGGTAAACAAAGTTGTATGGTAAACAGAAAGTTGGAAGAGAATATGCAGAAAGAACTTTTATTGATAGACAATGACACAGCTATGTTCAGAGTTAAGCATAGTGTATAAGAGAAGGTTTGTTCTGCATATAGTGTCTTTCTACTATAACTCTTTTCTTGCGCAACCAATTTCCAGCTCCCCCAAGAAAAAAAAATCATTCTTTAATTTGAGTGTATGTTTTTAGATTTCTAGTTTATTTTACACAAATTTACTGGTTGTAAATACAGGGAAAGTATGTTCCAAACTGGAAAACTGGATGAGCAGTTGCGATCAAAATCTTTGGAACTGGAGGCATTAGAGGCAAAATATGAGCTAGTTAACTCTGCTCTTCGCCTGAGCCATGAGCGAGTGACATCATTAGAAGCAAAGAATAATGCTTTAGAAGAAGAATTACAAAAGAGTCAAGAGGAGGCCTTGCTGCATAAGAAGAATGACAAAGAGGTAATTATTCCTAATATTTTTTATATGTGTACTGCTGTTATTTTATTTCCAGTTAAAGACTAGGAGAAGACAGGAATGGGATGATTTCACTACCCACTGTTCAATGAAGCAAATAGCCTCACAATCTCAACAAAAAGATAATGGAGCTAATTCCATGAACCTGTCCTCTTTCATCTTGTCTTAGCTGCTTTGCCCTGATGGTTAAAACTGCCTTTTCCTCTGTGGAGGAAACCCCGGTGCTGGTGAATGACTCTTGAAAGGAGATTTATTTTCCATTAAAAGCAGGCCTTAGAGAGGGATGTCTGATGTTATCATGGTCGTTTAACATATTTATATATTCTTTCTTTCAACACACCGGCCGTATCCTACCGAGGTAGGGTGGCACAAAAGAAAAAATGAAAGTTTTGCCTTTTACATTTAGTAATATATACAGGAGAAGAGGTTACTAGCCCCTTGCTCCCGGCATTTTAGTCGCCTCTTACAACACGCATGGCTTATGGAGGAAGAATTCTGTTCCACTTCCCCATGGAGGTAAGAGGAAATAAACAAGAACAAGAACTAGAAAGAAAATAGAAGAAAACCCAGAGGGGTGTGTGTATATATGCTTGTACATGTATGTGTAGTGTGACCTAAGTGTAAGTAGAAGTAGCAAGATGTACCTGAAATCTTGCATGTGTATGAGACAGAATAAAAAGACACCAGCAATCCTACCATCGTGTAAAACAATTACAGGCTTTGGTTTTACACTCGCTTGGCAGGACGCTAGTACCTCCTGGGCGGTTGCTGTCTACCAACCTACTACCTAGAACATATTTATATATGGGGTTTAAAAATTGGTAAATAGTTGGGTTTTGAATGCTGGGATTCTGAATGTTCCAAATATTTGGGAGTGGATATGTTTACTGATGGGTCTATGAAAGACAGGTGAACCATGGAAAAATGAAGAGAAAAAAGGTGGGTGGTATGATGAAGCATCTGGGGAAAGAAATTTGTTTATTTAGATAAAAAAAGGGGAATGTACCAGAGTATAGTGGTAATGACATTGCTGGAAGGAGTCTGAAAGCAATTCAGATGTCATGTTCGAGAGCAATGTGTGGTGTGAATTTAGTATTATGCAGAGAATTGGGAGCGTAGAGATTAAAAGACTGTGGGGCTATCAAAGGAATTGCTCTATAGGCATTACCAAACTGGTGATAATTAATTATATAGCAAGAGAAGAGGAATGCCCAAGATGAGAATGATAAGTGTGGGAGATGTGTTTGTGAAGAACTCACAACATTTGGCAATGGACATGTCTGAGTGGAAATAGTCTGTTAGTAGAGAATGAATGAATACCATTTTGTGTTTGCAAAAAATACTGTACTGCACTGCTGAATGTATTTTATAAGAATATGGTAGTACATAATACTGCTTTTGACTTGGGGTGTTTAATGTATTACAAGAGGTTAGAGGTTGCTTATAAATATTTAACATTTTTAATCCTACAATTCTTTTCCATAACTGCTGAATGCTTCCTAACCCCATGACAATGAAAAGCAGGTTGATCCTAATGATGATACACTAAAGCAATTCTTGGCTTTAATTAGTAGGTTGGTAGACAGCAACCACCCAGGGAAGTACTACCGTCCTGCCAGATGACTGTGAAACAAAAACCTGTAACTGTTTTGCATGATGGTAGGATTGCTGGTTTCTTTTTCTGTCTCATAAACACGCTAAGATAACAGGGATATCTTGCTACTCCTACTTACACTTTGGTCACACTTCATAGACACGCACATGCATATATATATATATACATACATCTAGGTTTTTCTCCTTTTTCTAAATAGCTCTTGTTCTTTTTATTTCTTCTATTGTCCATGGGGAAGTGGAAAAGAATCTTTCCTCCGTAAGCCATGCGTGTCGTAGAGGCGACTAAATGCCGGGAGCAATGGGCTAGTAACCCCTTCTCCTGTATACAATTACTAAAAAAGAGAAGAAGAAAAACTTTATAAAACTGGGTTGCTTAAATGTGCGTGGATGTAGTGCGGATGACAAGAAACAGATGATTGCTGATGTTATGAATGAAAAGAAGTTGGATGTCCTGGCCCTAAGCGAAAACAAAGCTGAAGGGGGTAGGAGAGTTTCAGTGGGGGGAAATAAATGGGATTAAATCTGGAGTATCTGAGAGAGTTAGAGCAAAGGAAGGGGTAGCAGTAATTTAAATGATCAGTTATGGAAGGAGAAAAGAGAATATGAATGTGTAAATTCAAGAATTATGTGGATTAAAGTAAAGGTTGGATGCGAGAAGTGGGTCATAATAAGCGTGTATGCACCTGGAGAAGAGAGGAATGCAGAGGAGAGAGAGAGATTTTGGGAGATGTTAAGTGAATGTATAGGAGCCTTTGAACCAAGTGAGAGAGTAATTGTGGTAGGGGACTTGAATGCTAAAGTAGGAGAAACTTTTAGAGAGGGTGTGGTAGGTAAGTTTGGGGTGCCAGGTGTAAATGATAATGGGAGCCCTTTGATTGAACTTTGTATAGAAAGGGGTTTTAGTTATAGGTAATACATATTTTAAGAAAAAGAGGATAAATAAGTATACACGATATGATGTAGGGCGAAATGACAGTAGTTTGTTGGATTATGTATTGGTAGATAAAAGACTGTTGAGTAGACTTCAGGATGTACATGTTTATAGAGGGGCCACAGATATATCAGATCACTTTCTAGTTGTAGCTACACTGAGAGTAAAAGGTAGATGGGATACAAGGAGAATAGAAGCATCAGGGAAGAGAGAGGTAAAGGTTTATAAACTAAAAGAGGAGGCAGTTAGGGTAAGATATAAACAGCTATTGGAGGATAGATGGGCTAATGAGAGCATAGGCAATGGGGTCGAAGAGGTATGGGGTAGGTTTAAAAATGTAGTGTTAGAGTGTTCAGCAGAAGTTTGTGGTTACAGGAAAGTGGGTGCAGGAGGGAAGAGGAGCGATTGGTGGAATGATGATGTAAAGAGAGTAGTAAGGGAGAAAAAGTTAGCATATGAGAAGTTTTTACAAAGTAGAAGTGATGCAAGGAGGGAAGAGTATATGGAGAAAAAGAGAGAAGTTAAGAGAGTGGTGAAGCAATGTAAAAAGAGAGCAAATGAGAGAGTGGGTGAGATGTTATCAACAAATTTTGTTGAAAATAAGAAAAAGTTTTGGAGTGAGATTAACAAGTTAAGAAAGCCTAGAGAACAAATGGATTTGTCAGTTAAAAATAGGAGAGGAGAGTTATTAAATGGAGAGTTAGAGGTATTGGGAAGATGGAAGGAATATTTTGAGGAATTGTTAAATGTTGATGAAGATAGGGAAGCTGTGATTTCGTGTATAGGGCAAGGAGGAATAACATCTTGTAGGAGTGAGGAAGAGTCAGTTGTGAGTGTGGGGGAAGTTCGTGAGGCAGTAGGTAAAATGAAAGGGGTAAGGCAGCCGGGATTGATGGGATAAAGATAGAAATGTTAAAAGCAGGGTGGGGATATATTTTTTGGAGTGGTTGGTGCAATTTTTTAATAAATGTTGGAAGAGGGTAAGGTACCTAGGGATTGGCAGAGAGCATGCATAGTTCCTTTGTATAAAGGCAAAGGGGATAAAAGAGAGTGCAAAAATTATAGGGGGATAAGTCTGTTGAGTGTGAGCAAAGTAACATTTATGAAGGGATTCAGGGAAACCGGCAGGCCGGACTTGAGTTCTGGAGATGGGAAGTACAGTGCCTGCACTCTGAAGGAGGGGTGTTAATGTTGCAGTTTAAAAACTGTAGTGTAAAGCACCCTTCTGGCAAGACAGTGATGGAGTGAATGATGGTGAAAGTTTTTCTTTTTCGGGCCACCCTGCCTTGGTGGGAATCGGCCGGTGTGATAATAAAAAAAAAAAAAATAAGTCTGTTGAGTGTACCTGGTAAAGTGTATGGTAGAGTTATAATTGAAAGAATTAAGAGTAAGACGGAGAATAGGATAGCAGATGAACAAGGAGGCTTTAGGAAAGGTAGGGGGTGTGTGGACCAGGTGTTTACAGTGAAACATATAAGTGAACAGTATTTAGATAAGGCTAAAGAGGTCTTTGTGGCATTTATGGATTTGGAAAAGGCGTATGACAGGGTGGATAGGGGGGCAATGTGGCAGATGTTGCAAGTGTATGGTGTAGGAGGTAGGTTACTGAAAGCAGTGAAGAGTTTTTACGAGGATAGTGAGGCTCAAGTTAGAGTATGTAGGAAAGAGGGGAATTTTTTCCCAGTAAAAGTAGGCCTTAGACAAGGATGTGTGATGTCACCGTGGTTGTTTAATATATTTATAGATGGGGTTGTAAGAGAAGTAAATGCGAGGGTCTTGGCAAGAGGCGTGGAGTTAAAAGATAAAGAATCACACACAAAGTGGGAGTTGTCACAGCTGCTCTTTGCTGATGACACTGTGCTCTTGGGAGATTCTGAAGAGAAGTTGCAGAGATTGGTGGATGAATTTGGTAGGGTGTGCAAAAGAAGAAAATTAAAGGTGAATACAGGAAAGAGTAAGGTTATGAGGATAACAAAAAGATTAGGTGATGAAAGATTGAATATCAGATTGGAGGGAGAGAGTATGGAGAGAGGTGAACGTATTCAGATATTTGGGAGTGGACGTGTCAGCGGATGGGTCTATGAAAGATGAGGTGAATCATAGAATTGATGAGGGAAAAAGAGTGAGTGGTGCACTTAGGAGTCTGTGGAGACAAAGAACTTTGTCCTTGGAGCAAAGAGGGGAATGTATGAGAGTATAGTTTTACCAACGCTCTTATATGGGTGTGAAGCGTGGGTGATGAATGTTGCAGCGAGGAGAAGGCTGGAGGCAGTGGAGATGTCATGTCTGAGGGCAATGTGTGGTGTGAATATAATGCAGAGAATTCGTAGTTTGGAAGTTAGGAGGAGGTGCGGGATTACCAAAACTGTTGTCCAGAGGGCTGAGGAAGGGTTGTTGAGGTGGTTCGGACATGTAGAGAGAATGGAGCGAAAACAGAATGACTTCAAGAGTGTATCAGTCTGTAGTGGAAGGAAGGCGGGGTAGGGGTCGGCCTAGGAAGGGTTGGAGGGAGGGGTAAAGGAGGTTTTGTGTGCGAGGGGCTTGGACTTCCAGCAGGCATGCGTGAGCGTGTTTGATAGGAGTGAATGGAGACAAATGGTTTTTAATACTTGACGTGCTGTTGGAGTGTGAGCAAAGTAACATTTATGAAGGGATTCAGGGAAACCGGCAGGCCGGACTTGAGTCCTGGAGATGGGAAGTACAGTGCCTGCACTCTGAAGGAGGGGTGTTAATGTTGCAGTTTAAAAACTGTAGTGTAAAGCACCCTTCTGGCAAGACAGTGATGGAGTGAATGATGGTGAAAGTTTTTCTTTTTCGGGCCACCCTGCCTTGGTGGGAATCGGCCGGTGTGATAATAAAAAAAAAAAAAAAATATTTCCATTTTGGCATTCAGTTGAAGAATCTCCCCTATTATTTGCTTTTATTTCTTATTGCTCTATATATAACTAATCATAACTAAATGTTTGCATTAGGCCTGAAGGTCCAATCCCCAACCTTTAATATAAATGTTTTACTTTTTAAGAATGTAACAGAAGTAGATGTTTATTGTGTTCTGATTAGCTTAAAGTGTTTTAATTCCTTGATAGCCATTAGTATATTGATAAATGATTGATTTGTGGATTTAAAAGTGCTAGACCCAATTGATTATTCAGTGCCTTGAATGTAAAAAGTTACTGACATGACCAATATTCTGCAATCTTAACAATTTGCTATCATTACCAAGTCAATTATTGTTGTAAATTATTTGTCATAATTTAGAAATAATCAGAAGTCAGTCAAAACATTTCATTGTTGATCTTGTATATATTGGTTTATTTGTATATTTATAACTCAATCCCAGTGAGAGTCAGTATAACCAAAATTTGTCACAGTCTTCCCCATACCCAGGAGCAGGTTTTAGCCTAAACGGTATTCCTAAATTTTAATTTGGGGGTGGCACACCTCGGGGGTGGGGGTGGCATTTTATTTGCATTATGTTGAGTAGTACAAGCTATTTTTGTATTGATTTTGAAAACACGTGTGGCATTCCAAAATTTTAATTTGGGTCAGCATCCCTTGGGGAGCATTTTTTTTTTTTTACTGGTAAATAATTTTAAAGCTCTTTTTATACTGATTTCAAAAAGATGTAATGTGCTTCAAATTTTTAACTCTTGGAGGTAGGGGCAGCACTCCTTGGGGGTATTATTTTTAGGTCTCTTCATATTGAGTGGCACATTTTAAAGTTCTTTACATACTGATTTCAATAATATGTTTCCAACCTAGCTTAATAAGGTTTGATACAGAAACATAGCTCAATAGAAATAGATACAGTTGTGTTTTGGAGCCAAAAAATTAAGATACACTCACCTTCTGACAAGGTGGACAAGGGGGCAAAGATTTTAGAAACTCTCAGAAGACCTACCAAACAAAGAAAGATTTCCAGTAATTATTTGTACACATACAGTGTGTTGAAAGTGTTGAATAATGATGAAAGTATTTTCTTTTTGGGGATTTTCTTTCTTTTTTGGGTCACCCTGACTCTGTGGGAGATGGCCGACTTGTTAAAAAAAAAAAAAATTACAGCGTTTACTTGCGGTAAACTAATTACATGTATGTATGTCTGGTCAACGCTGGGCTATTTAGTCACATTCCATAAACCATACCCATAAGTTTTTCAAAATCATAGGCCAGTCAGATTATAGAAACCACCATGGTGCAATAAAAAAAATTCTCCTGGCCAGAGATGAGGGTACTGACATTTAATCTAAGAGAGATGCTACATCAGGTTTTTTTTTCTCAGATCAGGAACCCTTTACCACCATAATGGGCTCCTCTTGAAGAAATTTATTATGATATGGACATTATATCTTGAAGAAATTAATCTTAACCTTGCTGAAAAATTTCTTTTTATTCACATGCTCTATGTGGAATATGTAATGTACATTCACAGATGAGAATATTGTTCTTATATTTAAGGAACTGGAGCATGTTAGATCAGAACATAACCAAGAAGTAAGATTGCAACAGAAAACTATCAGTCACCTTGAGGCACAGGTCTGTACATACATGTTGTTTTTAAATTCATTGGTTCTTTCTTGTCAAGGCAGTGTAATATACTTGGTGTATAAGTATATTGCATGAACAAGTAGCAGAATATATACAATTTGATGAATAAACTTTTGCCAGAATATGACTCAAGCTTTTAAGTGTTTTTGATGAGATAAGCATAATGAAAATATGAAGTAACTTATTGATATTTTTAATGCTGTTTCCTCTAATGAAACTTGCTTAGTACATAGTTATTACAATTTTTAATTTCTCTTTGTCAGACTGTCTTTGGCAATTCTTATAACCTTGGATTCAGCTTCATCATTTTCACTTTACTAAATAGTTTTAGGTTTTGAGTGCTAGGGGGGCTTGGACATCCAACAAGCTTGTAAGTGCATTAGACTGGAGTGAGTAGAGGTAAATGGTTTTTATTACTTGATGTGCTGTTGGAGTGCAAGCAAGGTAACATTTATGAAAGGATTCAAGAAAATTGGTTAGTTGGATTTGAGTTCTGGAGTGGGAAGTACAGTGGTTGCATTCTGAAGGAGGAGTGAAGATATTGCACATTAGAGGGCCATCTGATTTGTGTCACCATGATTGAATGAGGCACCATGAAAGTTTTTTCTCCTTGTTTTGGTCACCCTGCATTAGTAGTGGGAAATGATTGGTGTGTTAATCCCTTAACTATGGTATACCCTGAAAATAAAATTCTTGTGTGGGAAGATTTAAAATTTTTTTTTCTACAGTTTGAAAGAGTATATTTTTCTGAATTGAATAAGACTAAAATGAGTAGAATCTGATAAAAACTTGCCATTTATGATGGCACCATTGGTGCTAAAGTGTCATTTATTTTTTTTCAGTTTCTAGTTTTGATGAGCCAAATAAGGTGCTATTTTAATTTTTTTTTTTTTGGTATTCACTGGTTAACACTAAGTGCCACATTTTACAATGAAAATATCCTGATTTCAAGCAAAAACAGTACTGGAAATAAGTTGGGAAGCAAACTGTACAAAAATGGGCCGCGGGGGTGTTGATCCCCGGGATACCCTCCAGGTATCTTGTATATAATGATTGTTTGTCATGAACACTATGTACTACAGGTTTTTATTGCCACATTAGAACTATTTCAAGATATTATATTCCTCAAAACATGGATTGAGGCACAGTAGAATATCACATAATTTTTTTTATTAACACATCGGCCATCTCCCACCAAGGCAGGGTGGCCCGAAAAAGAAAGGCTTTCATCATCATTCACTCTATCACTGTCTTGCCAGAGGCACGCTTACACTACAGTTATTGAACTGCAGCATTAATACCCCTCCTTCAGAGTGCAGACACTGTACTTCCCATCTCCAGGATTCAAGTCCATCCTGTACTTGTTTACTTGGCTTTCTGCTTGTGCACTGACATACACGACATCTTTTCTGTGCTTTCTTCTTCTCAGTAGCAGGAATAGTATTAGGGAAGTGTGCACCAGTCTTCAGTCACAATGGATTGCTTTCACTACCATGATGGCGACATGTCTACCAGATAAATGGAATTCTGGCCAATTTGGGTTTCTGTCCAGTTTTCACCTGAAATATATGGTGTGCATTTAGCATTGCAGCATCGAACAGTGAAAAAAAATTCATATATCATCTCCTGACACATTCCACAGACCAATTTGCATAAATGATTTGTTTACTAAACACACATTGTTGTTGTACTCAGTGACCACAAATGGTTTCACAATACTGTTACCCAGTCAACCTTTCCAGTTTCCTTCATGTCATGCCCCTATGGTTAACCTTCCTTTAATATTACATTGCGGTCATTTCCTTTAATAGCTAAATTGGAAATGAACGTCCTTGTATTATTAAGATTAATTCTTATTAACAATTATAATTTATGTAACATGGCCATGATAAGTTTAATTGGAGGTATAGTAACCTGCCTGCCGCCCGGTGTGCCGGTGTGTAGTTAGCCGTGATGTTTGATGGTTATACCCCCCCCCTTCCCCCCCCTTTATGTTCAACTACTCTACTGAGTGTTGGTGAGTCACGTCACGTGACCCACTTTACCTGTATGCTCAAGGTTGAGGGACGAGCAGTGAAGAAGTAGCAGCCAACGAGAACACTCCTGCTCGTCTCTGGTAACTGGCCAAGATTTATTAGCCGGCCTGGACATGTTCTGTTTTATTCTGACTGCTTCCAATTGGGAAACAAGACTTTAATGTATAAAGTAATCTCCATTTATATATATGTTATATCTGGGATATTCTCCTAATCCTCTGTTTTGAAAGCCTTATGTATATGTTGGATACACAGAAAAAACATGTATTTTTTAAACTTTATAACGAAATTGTAAATATAACGGGCTTTTGTTTTTTATGAATTACTTAATTAAAATTAGGCTTCCCGGGGGATCATTATTTTTACCCTAACCTCTCTGACCAAAATTGTTATGCCTAAAAAAAGGGAAATAGTTTTTACAAACTTGGGGGGTTTAACAAGGGGGGGCCCTTGTCCGGGACATAACACTAAATTTTCCCAAAAAAATGAATGTAAAAAAGGGCAGGAGGTTGAAGATAAAAAAAGGAGAAATTACAAAATTTGAAGCTTCAATTTTGTTGGCAAAGCAAAGCTTGGGCATAAAATACGCAGGCATTTCACTGCCCAGACGTCAGTTTTTGTTCCCAGAATGCCTTTTTCCAAATGACGGATCCAGAGACGAAAAAGGAGAAGCAGTATTCCTTCTTTTTTGAATTCTTTTCTACAGACCCGGGGCCCGAAACTACGACGCTAACAACCCCTCTGGGGGAACGGAATGAACTTCCTGAAACTCGGAAACGCTACCTGCTACAACGCCCAAATTTCCCATCCCCAAAGGACTATAGGGGAACAAACTCAATCACACAAAAAAGGGACCGGGGTTAAACCATTTACAATATTTTTAAAACAGAACAAGAAGTCCTTTTGGATGATGAACACGCCACCTCAAACCCTTTACCCCTTTTGACTACTATTAAATTAAGGAGAATTTTGAAGCTAAACGTTTTTTTTCGCTTCAAACCCTCCTTTTAAAAGCCCAAAAAATTTAAAAAAGGGAAATTTTGAACGTGAATCTTTGCTTTTAAACGGGGTACTGAGGAAGAAAGAGAATCTAGTACAGTATACAATCCCTTCATTTAAACCTTGGTAAAGCCCCCTTTTTGATGCCAAAATTTTAAAGGAGGAAATTTAAGATTTTTTTGAAGCATTCGAAAATCGGCAAAGGGTGAGCAATGGCCCCTAAATATTGGGCTCTTTAATAAATTCACTTTAATAGGAAAACCCCAAACCCATAACTGCAAACTTACTTTGAAAAATATTCTGATTATACCAGTAAAAGGATTGTCTTCGAAAGCTTATGATTTTTTCCCTGTCGTTTTTTGAAGATGTTTAGAACCGAAAAATATCCTCAGCATCTTGGTGGACTTTCCCAGGGAAAAGCTCCTGCTTTCGAGCGTTGGCGGGGGCCGCGGGAGCCGCCCAGTCGAGTCCCCCCAGCTGATGTTGCATGAAGATTTTTTTAAATATTTTCCGAGAGGTGCATACTTTCTTTTGAATTTCCCACTACTAACTTTTAATAGCGCCCACGCAGATCACTTTGAAATTTCCCATGCTTTAACCACAAATGTCAAAGGCCCCCGGGAAAAGAAATCTACCCCCAAGGGTTTTTTTGTTCAAGATTGACTGCTGGGAAAGCCCCACTGGCGAACCTTTGAAGGTGTTTCAGACAAAAAAAGGGTGACAAACGGCCTTTCTCCAGACAGTTCCAAAAGATCAATCACCCTGTCCTTTTTTGTAAAAATAGGTCAAGACAGTCCCAGGTTGGCAAAACGGGGGGGAAATAAAACCCAACCAAGGGGGGAGTTCCTACCCAGGTAAAAATTTTCCTCTGGGAAGTATGAAATCGGGATGACAATCTCTACCTTTTCAGGCCTCCCAGAGACCGTCTAATAGAGACTTACCACGACAGTGCTTCAAAGAAAAGGTCCGAGTGTAGGGAACCCTACTTTTCCCGGGGGAATTCGGACTCTGTAAAAGGGTTAGTAAATATCACGACCTTTCGAGTACTGGCAGCTATCCCCTTTTTTATTAAGATCAAACCTGGTAAATTTTACCTAAGTAGAAAACCCCCGGCAAACGTTTTTTTTTGAGGCTTACGGAGGCAAAATAAAAAAGGTCCCATTAAAAGGTTTTAGAAACTGCCGGGATATGTAGGCTGGATCAAGGGGGACTTTCAGATAAACCTTTTCCCATTCCCGGCGTGGTTATTAATGGGGAACGAAATTGATCAAATTGGAGATACCCAAGAGCCCTGGTTTTAGATAATCCTTGTGATGAAAATTTAGCCTTAGAACCCTCTGGGGCGGGGTAGATTTTTTCCCCTTAATGTGGTCACCGACCCATGGTAAAAACTCTAAAAATTTGGATTTTCAACACCCTTTAGAAATGTCCGATAATTAGGTTTGACTTCCGTTTAGCGAAGAAATTCAGTCAAACCCCACAGGTGACAAATTTTTTACCAGCCCCTGCGGACCTAGCAAAAATGAAATAAAGAAAAATTTTCTTATAGCCAAAGGACGATAAAGTTTAACCAAAAGGATAAAAGGAAGGTCCCTTTTGATGAAGACGGTTTTTTTTGGAAGGAAATAATGATAATGTTTTGAGTTAAAAAGGAAATTTTTAGGGGGCCATCGCCCTTTTACGAATAGGGTATTTGAATAGCACATAAATCCACTGGGAGGTATTTAGGATCTCTAAACAGAGAAAAAGAAAAGGGAAATATTTTTTTTGGCCTCGATGAGGATTTATATTGCTGACAAACTACGGAAATGCACTTTTGTCAATAATGGCAAAACGGCCACAATCCCGGTCTGCCCCTTTATTCCCAATAAAATGTCCTGAAGAACCTTTTGAAAGATTGTTTTTGATTGTGAGGACCGTTCCCCCGCAAAAAAAGGGGGGAAACCAAAATTT